ATCAAACAACAAAGTTTTATGATAAACGTGATGACTAACTTTTCTATCGTCAACTTCCCTTATTTATGCAGCATTATACCCTCATCACCTGCATATAGGGACAATTTCTAAAACGAAGTAAGTTATTGACAAACACGTTGATGAAACAAGAATATCAACAGTCTCGTTTAAAGTCATCATTACGTAAGTTTTATGGTCGATACAATGACCTTGCCAGCAAATACAATCTATCATTAAGTCAAATGCTGACTGACTTTTTTCATACAATTTTTCATACAAATTGTTAGGCCATTATTTACAAATTGAATTGTCGACAGATTTTTCCGTTATTTCCGGATCATGACAAGGAACACACGGTTCGTGTGACTGGTCGGCAGGGGATTCTCACTCCTCCATAACACATGATCCAACCTCTGATGTTTTAGAGGTTCGTATTTGCTCTGCTCCTGATTATTGTTTGAATGGACTTTTGAGCTTGAATACTGTTCGCTATCTCCATATATTTCATTTTAGCAGACAAATTTTGTATAAAACCAAATTTGTATAAATTGTATAAAACGCGTCAGCCAAAATACACCCAATGATAGGTTATATACGCTAATGTGATCATGATAACGACCATAGAATTTACGAAATGCTGACTTTAAACGAAGTTGCTTAAATACTCGTAACATCAACTTATTTGTCAGTAGTCTGCCTCGATTTAAAAGTTGATCGTACTCAGATCATGCTCCTGAGTATTTGAGTATCAAATAAGTTTTGAAGACATAAACACCATATGTATATGATAGCGGAATATTATTTTATAAATAAAATGAAAAAGCTGAAGTCATCTCGTTTGTCATACAATTTAGTTGGACCTTATCGTCTATAGTCAGTAAAACATCTAATATGAAACAGATGTGAAAGACTCTGGGTGTCTGGTACCCTAAATCACCTTGTCAGAACTTTGATTTAAATTAAAAAAAATCAATTTTACCTACAGATTACGAATATATTGAAAACCAATCGATAAATGATCTAGACCTGCTTATCAACTTTGAAATGCTTACCCGGAAGAAAAGTGCACTACCTAAAATTTGCAGAAAGTATATCAATTTTTCAAGTACGTTGACAGTAAGATATTGCATAACAACAGTCAGAAAAAAGGAAGATTTATAACACCAGGGGAAACATACACAAGGCGACAGTAAAATACAAAGACTTCTGATTTTTCTCAATGTGTTTGGGATAAAATGGTAAGCAAAGTGTAGCTTTATTAAGAATGATATTTTGTTAAAAATTTTATTTAAAATATATCTCTGCAAAGTAAAATACCACTTGTATTTAGTTAATTTTAATTCAAAGATTTTTAAAGTCTTTTTCTGATGAACCGCAGTAAAATGCACGTTTCTATGAAATTTTCAGGACTGACTTCTGATGTTACATTTCTCATATTATTTACGTTGAAATATGGCAATTTAAGGTATTCAATGTATTATGAAGGTATTTTGAACAATTTTGAAGTATTCTTAAACTAGTTAAAAATGCATTGCTAGATAACGATGAAAGTGATATGAACCAAATTCACATGACAGATAACATGTAAGAAACCAGTTAATTTCCACCTTAAAAGTTTTTGATGAGTTATATGCCCATGATGAAAAGAAGAAAATTTTAATTATTTCAAAACATCTATGGTGAGTGATTCATTTTATTTCATATTATAATAAAGAGAGAGTTTATGCATATATTCACCAAGAGATTTGTATGAAATTCAAATTACTTTTTACAATATCTTAATAACACATGCGCTGCCAATAGACTTCAATGTTAACTTCAAGGTACATTTAATTGTAAAATAATTAAAATTTGGTAAATTCCTTTGGTGGAGTATTTTTGTATTTTTGTTTGATAACACCTTCAAAATACTACCATGATTTAAAAATCGGACCATTTATTTATTAGGTACAAAAATGGTCGTTATACATTTTAGAATACCTTAAGGGTATAGTGCTGTCTGTACATAGAAATGCATTCATTACAATATTATGAAGTTTAAATTTTTTTTAAATTTCAGCATACAGTCGACACATAAACATATTTAACATATTTATAAACACGATATTACAGTTATATTCCTTTTTTTGACACAAAAAGAGACTGTATTTTTATATTTATTGTGCAATAGAGACATATACCTAGATTGAAAGAAAATATCTGAATAGTACGAAAAATGGAAGTAGGTGTAAAGACGAATAATGACCCCCGTAGAAAAATGACCGGGGGTCATCGACATATGACCCCCTAGCCGTAGAAAAATGTAATTTTTTGTAGAAAAAGAACCCTAGGGGTCAGTTTTTTACATGTGCAACCTATAAAAAATTGATCCCGTTGAAAAATGACCCCCATCCCAACAGATTGAAACAAAGTTCAAAAGAGATGATTGATGCCAAGGTTTGGGTCTCAACGGGCAATTCTCTTGCGTTTTTCTGATAAACACTATACGAACACTCAATTGAAATTTGTTTAACAACGTTACATGTGTACCATTTTATTAGACCTATTGTGTTCTCATCTCAAAATTAAAATTGCACAATAGATACCTAAAAGTGGTTATTGTTTAATTTAAAAGCTGTTATTATGTCGTCCAGAACGTAAGTCAGGATGATATATTGTTATCTCTAGGCCTATCATTTTGTCCCAACATTTTCTCGGACATGACTTGGATAAATTTAATGAAACGTTTCAGAAAAGACAATTAGCAACTCTAGATGTTCATTAAATATTTTGATTTTCAAAATTGTCATGTCATGTATGGTTGGCTTCTAAAATCTTTGTGAAACTTCACAAATGCATCTACATTTAAGATTTTTAAAACTGTTTCCATTGCTTGTGAAACGATTGGACAAACTTTTTCTCACCACGAATGAGTGAACTAACGTGCTTTCTTTGGTTTTTAGTTCGGGAATTAATGTTGCAGCTGTTGCAGATAAAATACATAACCAGCGTAAGCAACATATTCCCGTACAAACAACCAAAGAAATACATTTTATTATTTATATTTATATCTGTACAAATAATCATTTAAAGTAGAATTAAGAAGATTAAATATTGTATTATGGATATGAACGTCATTGTAAGTTTCATTGATGGAAGAGCCACTGCTCAAGGAATCTGTAGAGGTGATATGCCTGGCGGTATTTACTGACTGATAAACGGCAATGGTTTTCTTAAGAAATAAAGGAAATAATATTCAGTGGATGTAAATATATGTTCATTACGTATAGATCATTGTTTATGTCTATTGTATGAGGCACAGTATTGGTATTTATTGCCATTTAGTGATATCACCTATTCAAATTGGTGATATTACCTTTCTGTTTTGGATTGGTGATATCACCAGTTTGAATTGGTGATTTAAACAATTTGCATTTCTTACAACATTAAACGATGAATGCTCTCTTCCTCAAGACAATCTATGATGACTTCAATGCAAAGTAAAGGATGAAATTTCAAAAGGTTTTCAAAGAGCAATTTCATATATTTCCTTTGCATTGATTCAAAATTGATGAAATTGATTTCATTATTCTTGAAAAAACTATAATAAAGTTTCTATGGACTTTTTGTACTTAATTTGAGCCATAGCCTCTACTATTTCGGCATTGCATTGATCAAATAAACTGTAAATTTGCTGTAAGATCATTGTTTTGGCCCAAGAAGAGGAGAAGTGCACAGTTTGTAAGTTACAGTGTATATATACACAAAAAGACGGTAAAATACCTGGTTTGCATATGAACAACTAGATTTCTATTGACCCTTAGCAAATTTTGGCTGCCCTTTTCCCCTGTGTTATAGTCCAAGACATTTAAAACATCATTTGTTTTCAATCCCTGTGAAGTTTTATATAAATTTCACTTGCAGTCAGTTTTGCTATATTTATTGAACTCTCTCTCTCTCTGTTAAAATTACATATATATGTGAAAAGAGACTGAACTTTTTACTTCATGTATAGAGTAAATGTATTCACTAGAGTCTTGGAAGCAATTGTTTTTTCATGTTTAATTTGAAAAGATGATCGATATCACCTATTTAAATAGGGGATGTCACCGAATCCAAAGCTTTATAGGTGATATCACCAATTGAATAAGTGATCACCTATTCAAATAGGTGATATCACTTATAAGGGCGGTTAATGCTAAAGCGGCCCCTTATACTATTGCTTGCAATACCATGCATTCTAGTCTTAACTTTTTATCATTTGTTTCACATTTCGATATTTTACTGATTATAGATATTTATTGCCAATTAACAAACGGCTTGACTTCAGAAGTCTCTAAAACATCAAGTACCATTCTTTTTATTTAAATTGTAAGGCATGTCCGAAAATTAGATGTATGTACACTGTTTAAATCATTGGCTTAAAATAAAGGCATTCGGGCACAATTAACTGGTAGAAAGACATTGTTAACAACTCTCTCTCTCTCTCTCTCTCTCTCTCTCTCTCTCTCTGTGTGTGTGTGTATGTGTGTGTGTGGATAGTATAAACAAAAATAAAAAGAAATCAATGATACATTTTTCAAATCACAATGGAAGCATTTTCACACAGTGTACATTGATGTCGATTAAAGTTGTCAATTCATCATAAAAGACATTTGAAAGATTTAATGAGAACAACAAATCATTGCTATATCTTCAATTTACCTCAGGTGAGCATTTTGATCCATGGGCGTCTTGATTTATTAATTCTTAATTTTTTCAATCAAAAAAAAAAAAAAAAAAAAAAAAAAAAAAAAAAAAAGAAATATCCCTCATAAAATCTACCAGGGGTCACTATTCTACGGGAGTCATTTTTCTTCACGTAGGGTATGCAGATTTTAAGGGTGATGCCACTTTTTCTACAGGCAAAAGAGTCATTTTTCGACGTCGAAAAATGACCCCCGGTCATTATTCTACGGGGTTCATTATTCGTCTTTACACCGGTATAACTACATTCATATAAGAAATGTATTTTCAGGATACACAAGAAAATACTGTTGAACATGTCCATGACGAAAATGGCCAAAATCATTATACGGTACTTGTTACTGAATCGGTAGGTATTACGTGCTTTAAAGACATGCATGAATACCCTCAGAAAGTTATAGAAATTTGTAAACAGTTTAGACTGTCTTTATTACTGCAAAAACACATATTTATCACACAGTTTACCCAAAGACACCCTTACTTTGCAGTCTCCCCAAAATTGTAAACTATCTATTTTATTGAAATTTAATGCAAATAGGTGGAAAAAATTGAAAATCCCATGACTTTAGAGATTTTATGGACATTTCTGAATATATTTAAAGAATTACTGTCTAGTTTGTTGGGTATGTCAGGGCAGAGATTTTATGGACATTTCTGAATATATTTAAAGAATTACTGTCTAGTTTGTTGGGTATGTCAGGGCATCAACGACGGTAGGAAACGTGGGATAATTTGTATAAATAATATGTATAAATTACATATACACATTGTATATATAATATGCATAAATTATCCCACGTTTCCATCTGTCGTTGATGTCCTATGCATACACAACAAACAAGACAATGATTCCTTATATTTACATTTTTATGTGAAATAAATATGTTAATATATATAAAAAATGCTGTCTAATAGATTAAAAATTACATGAGTTAATATTAATTTCCATAGTCCCCGCCCACTGTCGTCAGACACAAAGACAACCGCACGAGATTGACATGCATATTAGGTTCCTTACCTTTTACTTGGCGAAATTTACAAGTACAATTCTATCAAGAAATCAACGCATCTAACTTTCAAAGATTTATCACAGAAAAAATGTAAATATTTGTTGTTGATCACATAATTTGAAATCCAGTGTTTTCACAGAATAAAAACATTTGATGCTTCAAGTAATTTTTCTTATATACTTTTTCAAATGGTGTAAGGATGGTCTCATAGAAAAACTCCAAGATCAATGTGTATTTTAGCACAAAAAAAAAAAAAAAAAAAAAAAAAAAAAAAAAAAAAAAAAACCATGAAAAAAGAAAAACCTATACAAACTATTTTGTGCCCCGTTTACAAATTTGTTTTGATTTTAAGAAATTTAAGATCGTTCATTATTCGTTATCTTCACGTTTTTCAACTTTTACATTTCCACAGCATATCTTTAAGTATCTACTGTCTGTAAAAGATATTAGTACATATGCAGAGACTGACTAAACTAGCTGCTACTATGACAAGGTGAAGTTAACGAACAGCGATATATTTAATCAAGTTATGTAGATTTGTGCATTTAAAAAAATTGCTTTAAGGAAAATTTCCTCCGGATTAATTCCAATGCAAAAATCTTCTCCCTATGTAAGAAAATGCTATATTGCAAATTTTCTCCCTATGAATGATTGCGAGTTAGATTGAGTATTGAAAATACTGAATAGGAAAAAAAAATTGAAATCATTGCTGTTCATTTAATGGCATATGTGAAATTAGAACCAATAACGTAAAGGTAGGAAGGACTGCAATGCGGAGAATCTTTCTGTATAGCAGAACTTCCCCCATGGGGGATTCATTGCTATATAATAATTAATCCACGGGGACTTGTTGCTATGGGAGAAGTTTTTGCTCTACACCATCAAGCATCTTTTTTATTCATATGCTACTCGCATTTTGTTGAAAACTAATTATTTGAAACGAAGAGAAAACATATCCTATTGTTAATGCAATTTTGTTATAGACGATTTATAACTGTTTTAGCCTGAATTTTCATCATTTTGGCACACAGGTAAAAGTACGAATCAAAGAAGAAATAATATTGTTTCCAACAAAGTTAAAAGATTCACACATTTCAACATATTCTCACATGAATACATACATAAATATTTTCAATGTTCAATACGGCAATTTCTCTTTTAATTCTAGGGCGCTGTTATCTCACAACATACAGGATACAATGTAGGACCTACCCAGAGTCAGGTGACAGTTTTTAAAGCACTTTTTAAAAAAGAAAAAAATTCAACCTAAATTAGATACGATACTAATAGTTTTAAAAATAATATATAAACTGCAATGAACCAAAAGAAAAATCGAATGGTTAAAAATTGTTACAAACTTTTTAAATATATTTTTTGCGATGTAAATTTTGCTTTTCAAGTCTACGTCTTAGAGTGGTGAGACTAATATTTAGTCTAAATCAGTTTAAAAACATCTTGATTTTAAATTTTATCAATTTTTAAATCACCAATTTCTTAAAATATCTATTCTAGGGCAGCAATAGAAACATTGTATTTTGTTTTCGTACTTAATTTCATTTTTGAATTAAATAATCATTAATACTACCAATAAACAAGACAGTTCATCTGAAAGACTAACTGTTATTAATACTTGATTTTAAACAGAAAATTGGCTTTTTTTCAGAAGAAACGCCGAAGATTCATCCCTTTCAAAGTAAGTAAAAGAAATAGAACAAGCAACTGATAAGTAGAGGGAAATCGGGAAATGTATTAATGATTTTGTTTTTTTAATTTCAGTACCATTCAAAAATTTTCAAAGCTTCCAAAAAAGTAAGTAGTACTTATGAAACAGGAGATAACGAACAGTGATCGATCTATAAACAATGCAACTATAACATTCGTTATTTTTAAATGCTGACAAAGAAATGTTATGGAGAACACCTTTTGCTGATCGTTTCTGATGAAAAAAATGGCAAAATTCAAATTCTAAATCACATTTCTTTTCTATCATTTACACGATCAGTACAAAGCTGACAAAGCAGGTAACAACATTGTCTTTGTTTGTAAGGCTCATTGTATAAATTGTATTTTAGAGGAACAAGGATTTAATTCTACAAGTGGTAATCCAACTTATACCCATAGCTCCCTTTCTAAGGAGGAAATTCTTCAAAATCATATGTCAGTTTTGAATATTTTTAATATTTCCAACAACCAAAATGAATTTGAATTACCATATCTATATTGGATTCCGAAACATTCATAAAAATCCTTACAAAAAAGATACATAGCGGGTTCCAGTAAATATTCTACCAAGCCTTTTTCTTTACTCCTCACTAAGATATTAACAGTAGTGAAGGACAAACTTCAAGAGTACTGTGCAACAATATATTTGAGAAGTGATGTAAATCAGATGTGGATACTAAAAAATTCCAAGGAACTTTTGAAATATTTGAAATCACAAAATTTTACCAAAATCAACAACATAAAAACTTAAGACTTTTCAACTTTATATACAACTATTCCCCACGATAAATTAAAGTCCAGACTTTCTGACATCATTGACAGCTGCTTTTTCAATAAAAATTGAACTCGTTAATTTACTTACCTTGTCATTGGTCATTTGCAAAATTACTTTGCTAAAAAACAATCTGTTTGTACACACAAGTACTCTGAAGTTGACATTAAAAAGATGCTCGAGTTTCTGATTGACAATATCTATGTGGTTTTTGGAGATCAGGTCTTCCAACAATCTATTGGAATTTCCAGGGATACCAATTGCGCCCCATTATTAGCAGTCCTATATTTGTATTCATATGAAGCAGAATTTGTTCAAAATCTTTTACGTGAAAAGAAGAAAACACCTACTGTGGCCTTCAAGTCGACATTTAGATACATCGACGACGTGTTGTCAATTAACAAGGGTTATTTCCATTCTTATGTCGACACGATATATCCCAGTGAGCTTGAGATAAAAGATACCAGAGAGTCTGACACATCTGTTTCATATTTGGATATTTTACTTGAAAAAGACGTTAATGGTAATCTAACAACAAAGCTTTATGATAAACGTGATGACTTTAACTTCTTAATCGTCAACCGTCAACTTCCCTCACTTATGCAGCAATATACCCTTATCACCTGCATTGTTTCACTAATTGTTAGGCCATTATTTACACACTGAATTGTCTACGGATTTTTCCGTTATTTCCTGATCATGACAAGGAGCACACGTCGGGAATGACCGGTCGGCAGGGGATGCTTACTCCTCCATGGCATCTGATCCCACCTCTGATGTCTTAGAGGTCTGTGTTTGCTCTGCTCCTATTTTGTAATGTTTAATGGACATTTGAGCTCGAATACTGTTCGTTATCTCCTCATATTTCATTTAATAAGAGAATACCAATGCAACCATATGTGAATTAACTTAAAGAAAGAAAACTTTACAATGAACAATCAATTACACTTTTAACTTTATTAAGAGACCATGTGATGTAATATGTAAAAATACATGAATATAAAATTAAAATAACCCGGTTAAACGTTTTTACATTTCTCGAAGACTATTTTTCGTATTACGTATATCCAAGTAAGAAATTCAAAGAAATACACACTGCATCATTCTAATGATACTAGTACCTCATTTACAAATTCATTTTTCATTAATTTCTTAATTTATCAAAATTGTAAGAGTGATGTAAATCTTATACGGTACCAATTTTGATGCACAAGATGCGCATTTCGACAAATTATTTCTCTTCAGTGATGCTCTTGCCGAAATATTAAAATTTAAAAAAAATTGAAGAGCTGAAAAAAGGGAGTGCCAACGACTGGAGCCAAATACGTCAAAGGATCAGAGCTATGTATGAGGGAGATAATCCTTAACTTTGAAATATTTTTTTTTAATTTTACGACAACAATTAGTCGCCCGCGTGGCGCAGTGGTTAGAGCGTCTGCTCTAGAGTCGCGGAGTAAGGAGTTGATCCTTACGTCGCGGGTTCGAATCCCACTGTGGGACGTGGAGACCGGTCCTTCGGATGAGACCGTATAAACCGAGGTCCCGTGTCGCAGTAGGTGCTGGCACGAAAAAGATCCCTCAATGCCCAATGGCTGTAAGTGCCGAGTATAGGACAAAATTTGCAGCTCTCCACCGGCAAGTGGTGGCGTCTCCATATGAGTGAAAAATTCTCGAGAGGAACGTTAAACAACATACAAACAAACAAACAAACGACAACAATTAAATGTATATCCGTATTTTCAAGCTGGTACCGAAGTACTTAGCTACCGGAAATATTACCATTTGCAGTTTTGTATATAGAACAACAGTAACCCATATAACTTTTGGAATTTTTTCACACACACACACACACACAAAAGAATTAGTCATTTTGAAAGTGAGAGGGTCATTTTTTAGCTTTATATCTTGAAAAAGATAAATATTCAGACCAACACATCTCATTTCAAAACGGGAAATAAATTAAAATGTAGTTTGGCAACCTTGCAAGACCAAACATTACATGGAAATAAAAATAATGTATAAAAATGAAGCTAGTAACATTTTTAGAAATTTCTTTCAGATATGAATCCGATTAAAACATATTTCACATGGCACAAAAGTGTGGTTGTCCAGCAAGTTAAACCTAAATGTCGAAGCGTTAAATATGGATATTTAAGGTTTTTGATAGATCTTTAATATGTCTACCATTGAGCACTAATTGTGCTCCTTTTTAGCCGACCTATTTCTATATTCCAAAGAAAATTAATTCAAAACTTCTACATGAGAAGAAGGAAACACTTGTTGTGGCCTTTAACTCAAACTTCAGATATACTGAGACGTTTTATCAATTGACAATTGTTATTTTCATTCAAATGTCAACTCGATATATCCCAGTGAACTCGAAATAAAAGACACCACAAAGTCTGCCACATCTGCTTCATATCTGGAAGGACGATATATAAACGATAAGGGTCAACTAACAACTATGAACAGAGTCTGTTTAATATTTGGATATTTTACTAGAAAAAGACGTTAATGGTAATCTGCAACAAAGCTTTATGATAAATGTGTTGACTTTAACTTTCCAATTGTCAACTTCCCTTACTTATGCAGCCATGTACCCTTATCACCTGCATATGGGGTGTTTGTCTTTCAGTTGATTCGATACGCAAGAGCATGCTCTACATATGAGCAATTTCTAAAACGAGGTAAGTTATTGACAAATAAGTTGATGAAACAAGATTATCAATAGTCTCGTTTAAAATCATCATTTCGTAAGTTCTATGGTCGATACAATGACCTTGTCAGCAAGTACGATTTATCATTAATTAAGGCATAAGCTGGCTGACGTTTTTCATACTAATTGTTAGGCCATTATTTACACCTGAATTGTCTACGGATTTTCCCGTTATTTCCGATCATGACAAGGAGCACACGGTGAGTGTGACTGGTTGGCTGGGGATGCTCACTCCTTCATGGCACCAGATCCCACCTTTGATGTTTTTTGGAGGTCTGTCTTTGCTCTTCCCCCGATTTGTATTGTTTTAATAGACTTTTGAGCTTGAATACTGTTCGTTATCTCCAAATATTTAAATTTAACCACCGAACATGTATCTCTGCTGGTGTACAGTCTGTCCCCGAGGATACTTGTCGTGCGGTTCTTATTCATTCATGAGTACACAGAAAAACAAAATGATACCGGTAGACACGTCGCCCAGTATATATTAACTGTATGACAAACGAGATGACTCCAGCTTTATTTTTGTAGTAATATTCTACTATCACCTACATACGGTGTTTTCGTCTCCCAGCTTATTCGATACTGTTCTGAGTATGATCAATTTTTAACCGAGGCAGACAACTGACAGATAAGTTGAAGTACAGGGATTTCGACAAACTCATTTAAAGTCAGCATGTCCTAAATTTTATGGTTTTATAATGACATTGTTAGCGAATATAACCTGTAACTGGGTCATATTTCGGCTAACTTGTTTCATAACTATTGGTAGGTCTTTGTTTTAAAATTTGATTATTGAATATTCCTCCCACTTGACCAACACATACGGCTCACGGTGGTTGTGACCGGTCGACAGGGAATGCTTACTCCTCCTAGGAACCTAATCCCACTTTTAGAATATCCAGTGACCGTGTTTTATGCTCTGGTCAAAGATATGTATCGTTTAAGAGTTTTTGAGATTGATCATTGTTTGTTACCTTTTTTCATTACCAACAAGCTGTTGCAATGTGTCACTCCGATATAAGATATAGTTTTTTCTGAGAAAGTAATTTCTATACGAATTGGAACAATTTTTTCTGCTTAAATCACACCTCCAAAATATTCGACGTTTGGAAACGTATCATTTTTTGAATCCCTTAACATAAATAGTAAGAGAAAAGCAGATCAAAAGAAGTGCGAAAATGCTGAAGGCGTCATGTGTTCCTCCATACTATTTATAATTTACTCGACATATTTTTTTTCATGAGCGATATTGTAATTTGATGGATTAAGAGAAAAGCACATAAAAAAATGCGAAAATGCTGAAGGCGTCATGTGTTCCTCCATTCTATTTATAATTTTCTCGACACATTTTTTTCATGAGCGATATTGTAATTTGATGGATTTCCTCTCGTGTTGTAGAAACGCCTGGAGGACGATCGCAGAGTTAGCACAAATAGCACTAACAGCAGTAGCTATGCGAGTTGTAAGGTAAGTTTTATAATAAGCAACACCATAACCGTGTTTGTTTTGGATATGTGCTACCTTTTTTTATATGAAACTTTGAATAGGAGGGATTAGCAAAATAATATATGGCTGTGACAAGAGGATAAAATATGCATATTTAAAATATCTTCCATAGTTTTTTTTATTTGTAGTTCAAACAACAGAAAGACAATGAATAGAATGGTAGCATGAAATGAGGGATATCTATTTTTTATCTTTTTTTTGTATTTTAGACCTATAAGAAAGACTCTGCTAAAAGCAACGCTTCTTCTCATACGTACCTGGACATTGATCAGGTATGAGTCTTTAATGAGCTAGACAGTAGTTCTAGTGGTTTGTACTAAAATTAGAGAGAATAAATTGCACCTTAACTTAAAATAATTTTTAGCTTTACATTTTCTAAACCCATACCGGGTATTATTGTAGTCAAAACCATATTGTAAATGGAGAAGCATGTTGAAGTAATTTCAAACACCATTCTTTTTAGTTACTATGGTAACATTATTCAATCTGAAAAAAAAGAAAAGAATTAAAAGCCTTAGCATTGTCTCCCAGCGTACCAATTCTATTTGAAATCACATTAAAATTGTAGAAGGAGTAGCGATTTGAAAAATAATTCCTCTTTTAATTTCTATAGCAATATTGTTCATTGAAATTTTAAACTGACAGAACTTTTTAAATATCTAGAGGTAGTTTGTATGTACTAATTTTTTATTGAAACTTTAAGATAACTGAAGGAGTAGCGTGTTGAAAACATTTCACAGAAATAGAAATTGTTGATATCCGTGGAAATGCCCTTCATCAAAATTGAAAACCAAGAAATTCAGAACTATGAATGAGACAGTGCCTATGCTATAGGAGGAGTATTGTTTGGTAAAGTCTACAGACAGACAAAATGACAATGGACATTTTATTTTCGCATAAGCTTTATTTTCTTTGACCAATAGAGCCAAACATATCCAACGCACTTTGTTGTCATGAACGTAATGTACTGAAAAGTCCTATGAAAATATCTGGGATTTTGCACTGTTTATTTTTTTGTTTTTGTTAACACAAATCCATCAAAATGGCATCATAGTACAAAAATTCCGTGACGCCCGAGAGAGTCATAAGAACAACTGGTCAACAAATCAACCAGTCAAGCAAAAATTATTTCTCCGTATTTCACGACTTTAAATAAATTATAGTAATATAGTAAAGAAATAATAAGATCAAGGAATCTTCTGCATACTTCATGTACTAAGAATAGTAATGCAATATATAATATTTTGATACTATTTTTGCACTTTTTACTTTTCTTCCATGTTTTAATCTTCGAGCAATAATAAGATAATGGCACCTTTCTATTTTCGTTCACATTTCAGTGTATCCATCGTATCGAACTTGAAAGATGCAACAGCATTGCTACAGAAGCTTCTTTTTCCGACGGAGCTCATCGGAGGGTAACAATTTAATTGCTATCAATAATTAATTTGATAACACAAAACTTTAAAAACTAAAACACAAACTCTAAAGACGTAATCTTCATTATTTAAATTCTAAATATGTTTCGCTACATATAGATATTTAATTGAGTGTAAGCTTTTAGAAACATATACATATATAGTGGTAAATCGTAGATCTATCATGTATCCATTAAATTATATTTTTCTGAATATATATGTATTAATGACTGAGTGACCACGGTTTCATAAATGGGAATATTACGTTAACTCAGTATCTAACTTTGCGTATTCATCACTTCAGTTTTGAAATAATGTCATCTGATCAACAAATTATTGTAGACTGAGGACACAGATGTACAAGGAATTCGAAAAGAAAGTGCAAACACTGTTCCAATAATACAATACCAGGTACGCTGTCATTACATATTTTAATGAGAAAAAAAGAAAAACCTGGAATTTCGTTCTAAGAAACAATTCCAATAATCTTGAAAAATGAAATAAAAATATTCTTGTTTTTATCATTTAAAGATGGAACTTCCTAAAAAGACAGGTCGACACGCAAAGAAGTACATGGTCATATTCTGTATGATCTTGGTATGTGCTATTTTATCAGCAGCCATTGCAAGTGTTTTCAGCACAAAATCTCTAAGAAATAGTCTGCCCTCTGATGTTGAAGAACAATTAAGTAGCGGAAACTTCCTACCGCAAGCTCTCTTCAACGTTAGCAACGAGAGAGTGATGGCACGTATAGATGGATTACAAACTAGTAAGATAAAATACATGCATAATATAGATGTAGGGATGAAGTTAAAGCATATAACTGAAATGTTATATTAAACAGAGGAATGAATCTTAGGAATGAATCACAATTACAGAGGCAAGATTTTTCGTTACAAAAAGCCGGCAAAAATATGCAACTGTGAAATAACTTTTTTAAAATTGTATTCCTGGTATCTTTAAAATATAAGCGCCCTTTTTCCATAGTGTTTTTGCATATTTATATAGACAAATATGATATTAATTTATACGAAGAATGTATGACTATGATTAAAAAAAATTATAAAAATCATATAAATTTGATACTGAATTAACTTTTGACGATTTTTTTAACATATTAAATTAGAGGTTCAAAGATTTGCCAACGACACAAAAATTACCAATCAAAACCACTTTGAAAGTTTTCCAAATAAGAAAGGTAAATAACAGTGTAAAACAATTGCAATGATTACCAAGTAAAAGAAGATGGTACTTAATTTTGGAATTCTTGCTCAATTACCTTTGTAAATTGTAAATTCAATTAAATATGTTCAAACCAAATCATAAGAAAGTTATCTATACATCTGGGTGCTTACGTTTTCAAAAATAATCTTGATTTTGTTTAAATCCAAGTAAGTATTTACGACCATTTGTCACTGTCTACATGTACCTTGTTTGAATTTTATTTAATTGATTTTATGTTTTTCTCCTATCAATGAAAACAGATATGGAAGATTTTTCAAATAAGACAAAGATGAGCATCGATTTGCTCCTACAAACTTTACCAAACAAAACAGGTAAATATAGATTTCTTTTGTCATCATGTTCAACATATGTTATTTAAGTGTAAAACTAACCACGCCAAACGTTTGCAGATATTGATGTGTGGAAAGAGGAAAGCAAGGGAAACTCCTACAGAATAATTCATGCAATTAGTAAGTTCAAATATTTTTTAATGTGTGAAAAGCCCCAAATACTTTAATATATATATTTCAGAAAGTTTCATTGATCTAATACACACATCTCTCCATTTTTATTTTCCTCTGTACTTAAAAATTTCTAAATTCAATACGTGAGAATGCAATTAAACAATTAAGATTGGGAGTAATGATTTTTTTAATTTACATTTTCCATCGTATATACACATATAAATGATTGCAAACACAATAGATTTTTTCTAATACTGTCACATTCATTCATACATCTACTCATTGGAAGAGCCTGAAATTAACAGAAGAAATATAAAGGTTGCTAAAAGAGGAAAATACACTACATGTACATCAGATTGTTCGCCAATTAAAATATGCAATGATGAAAATAGATATAAACAATTATATTGAATAAAAAGGACTGATGATTGATTTTTACATTCTAATATCTATTTGACAGGATGTAAAACTGATTGCCGTAATGAACGCAATGGAGATTACCAGTCATGTTACACATGTGAGGGGTTTATAAAATGCACAAACGGTGATTTGGTAAATATGATCTGTCCCGAATCTTATAAAAACAAGACACTCCTGTGGGATGATTTTAAAAAATGCTGCCTCTACAGTTCAAACACCTGTGATCCGTTGTATACCTTACATGGAGAAGGAAATAATAACACCCTATTCACTTCATCAGTAATCACAAAAAACTAATTTTTGAACTATTTGAGTAATAATGTAACTATGCGACAATGACTTGCATTTTATAACTATCGGTATAATATTCATTCCACTCCTTCGACTGCAAAGATCACTGGATTGGTTAAAACACTATAATTGTATTTAACTTTTTTTGTAGTCTTTCATATATGTTTAGGGCAATGTAGTGACCTGTAGTTAAGTAATGGGTTACGTACAATAATTCAGATAATCAAGAAGCTCAATTAGTGTCCATCGGAATTTCAATAGATTTCAGAAGATCTGGTCTCCAAAGACTGCACATAACCAAGTGTCAAATTTTTGATATAAATCAATCCCTTTGAAAGACCTTTTGCAGGCTTTTCGACAAAGTATCACATCGCTAAAATAAATATCGGCTTGTCGTTCAAAAGAACCCCCCCCCCCTCATTTACTCCTCTCATATATACCTCTATCGTCAACTTCCCGTACTTATGTAGCAATATACCCTTATCACCTGCATATGGGGTTTATATCTTCCAGTTGATTTGATACGCAAGAGCGTGCTCCACGAACGAACAATTTCTGAAACGAGACAAGCTATTGACAAACAAGTTAATGAAAACAAGGGTATCAACAGTCTCGTTTAAAGTCATCATTTCTCAAGTTCTATGGTCGATGCAATTGCAATTAAGTGGAATGCTGACTGACGTTTTTCATATTAATTGTTAGGGCATTACTGAATTTATGGATTTTCCCGTTTGCTCAATCATGACAATGAGCACACGACGGGTGTGACCGGTCGACAGGGGATGATTACTCCTCGAGCCAAGGTACCTGATCCCACCTCTGATGTTTTAAGAGGTCTGTGTTTGCTCTGCTCCCGATTTGTATTGTTTCGTGGGCTTCTGAGTTTGTTTACAGTTCGTTATCTCCATATTCCATACAGTATATCTATGTAACTGCAGTTGCCCCATTTTTGCTAGGTGTACTTTTGTGTAGAAACAAAATGCTTCTTAACAAAATAAGTTTGAGTATGACCAATGACAAGGTAGGGGCATATTCTACGTATGAAAAATTTCTGAAACGAAATAAGCTACTATCCATAATAAAAATGAACGAATAAAAAAAAAGATTTTATTGTATTCAAAGCAATACATTAAAAAAGTTCAACCATCTTTCTCTTTTATTACTTGTAGAATATATAAAAACGAAATGAATTGTCTAATTGGTAACATAGAAGGAATTGAACACTTAAATTTCATTATGATCGAGAACTCGCTGCAGGAAAGATCAGTCACCCTATACAACATATAACCGGAAGGTAATATAGATGGACATAAGTTTTGAAAGGGTATACCTCCGGTTGAATGTGAGTGGTGTTTTTATTCTTAGTAATTATCTTTTGTGCTTTCATTGTCATTGTCAGCATTGATATTTCGTCATTGCATTACTATTTCGTATAAAAATAACTACTACCATAATAAATGAACATCATGTTCCTTACAAATAATCAAAGATTTTCATGTATTTGTAAAATAACGAATGACTGAAATTGTAATGGATACTAATCAGCTATAAATATTATACATGTAGATATTTTCATATATGTTTGAGAATATTAAATTATATTTTTCTCAATATTTTCTCAATAAAATGGATAAAATAGACAACAACAACAACAAAAACATATTCATTGCTTTCTTATCAGTAAATATTATCTCAGTTCGAATGTTAAGGTTTTTTCAACAGTTATGAACCGAAAATTTTATTAAGTTTATCACCTCAATGAATCTTTTCTTATACTTTTGTCAATGCAAAATCCCCCTCGTAGAAAAAAAAGAATACACAATCTAGTTATATATTAAACCTATAGCCTCGATATTAGAAAAAAAAATGCACGACTCTTTTGTCAATGCAAAATCCCCTGCCTTAGAAAAGAAAAAAATACACGATCTAGTTAGATATTAAAATGATGGCATCGATATTAGAAAAAAAATGCACGACTCTCCTAGTTGTTCTTGTATTGACGTTTTCTTTAAATTAAGTCATTACCTTATTAACCATCTAGAAACTTGTACGAATTAAATTGTGGTACACTACACTAACTTCATTGTCAGCATATTTTAACTATAAAAAATGTTTCTATCGGAGTGATATATTGAATGGAAAATGACACAAAGAGTGTTATCTAAACCCGAGTGATACGTGCGATATCTATGTAAGCCCATACTTTTAGAGACAAACTTCCAAGAAGGCAGACATGGCATTGATTTAAAACTTATTCATACGTTCTATATTTACTGTGCATTGGTCTAATATTGTTGAAGTTTATGGTTTAAGGTCATACGACGCGTTCCTCAATAAAAGATAATTTTTCCCAAGAATTTGTCATTCAAGTATTGCTGCTTAAACAAGTTTGCTCAGAAAAAAGTAGGATACATTACCAGACATTTGTACAAGATACCAGGGATGTTTTTTACTTTATTATCCTTTCGGAAATCACTAGCATTGGTAATATCACAAACTTTTGGTGTCTTTATTTACTTAGACAATTTAAAAACAGTTTAGAAATCACAAGATAATGATAATTTTGATTAATTTATTGTATATCATGAAAAAAATACTGAACAGATATTCGAGTAACGTGTTGTCAGACCTTAAACAAACCTTGTCATGCATAAATGTCTTTCCTCCCTTCCCCCGACAAAAACGAAAAAAAAAACTGTAGATAACAGATATTCAAATTATACAATGTTTAAGATGATTCATACATGTAAAATGTTAATATGTAGAACAATGATCAGTCTCATAAATCATTAATCGATGTAAATTGTAGAACAGGGAAAAACCCTGAAAACACCAGACTTGACTAATCATTCTCTTTCGATTGGTTTGAACCTCCTGTATTGATCAGTTTATTCCCTCTTATCTTTTTAAGTATTAAGAAACCAAATCCTTATATATATATAAATGTTTTAGATTTATGTGTTCGGTATTGCAAAATTTCATAGATAAGCATTAAATTACACCCCCAGAGAGTACAGTATCAGACGGTAGAATTCACTGGAATTTTTTACAATTTAATATCATGGTGGGTATGTTATATTCTTCGTTAATGACGTTATATTAATGGAAGTAATGTTTTAAATATTCCACAGTACGAAAAATTCCGGTAAATAATTTCATATGAATTTATTTGGATTGATTCTTTTTGCTTTAAGTAAATGAAACCATTTTTTCTTCTTTCTATAGAAAGCGTATGTAAATTTAGCATTAAATTCTAACAGCATGAGGCTTCAGAACTGAAAAAAAGAGAAGTATATGCCTAGAAATACAAAAGAGGAATTGAGGCAATATTTAATTGATTTCTCTGTGGGGTACCCGCATTTTCAGAGACATAATATTTTTATTCACATTTCGTCTACTGATTCTGTGATATAACTTCTGCAAGAGTCGTTTACGCTTTATTTACATGAAAATAACAATCAAAACTTAGTCCTGGCGATTAATAAAAGCCAGTTTGAGTTTCGATCCTTATAAGTATCGATGTCGCTAAATTAAAAAAAAAATTATGAAAAGTAATTGACTTTTTGTCAAATTTGTTTTTGTGTGTAGTTAATGAGAAAATTTGAACACAGAAAAAAACATTTAAAAAATTCTTTTGGTACCAACAGATGTAGATTAAAACAAATATTAAAAAAAGAGTACTATTCATTATTACTTAATTTATTTATCAAGTTGAAGTAAAAAACAAAAACATTAAGAAACATTTGTCTTTTTTACGAAACCCATTAAAAGCACAAATTAAAGAGCACAATCAAAACACCTTTGTGGATATGTTTTCTGAATCGGTGGGTTGAGTTTTTCAAAATAAACAGATATATTTATAATTGAACATTATATTTTGTTAACGATTTTAAAGGGGGATGTTTTGACCCTGAGATCGACTCGACGATATATTATTGCCTACCTGTTTTTCTTGTGTATGATTTCTTGTACAACTGCAACTTAAACCTTGCACTTAAATTTTAAGTTTAAAATTAAAATTAAAAGTCTAGGAGATACTTTATCTTTAGCTAACAAATAAATGTAATCCTTGACTTCACAATTAGCAAGACCTTGAAAGAAGATCATTTGATCAAGACACAGGTCACAGAAATTGGAAGTGTTAAAATACAGTAATGGCATAATTTTTGGAAAGGTTTATGTGGCCTTAACTCCAACCATAGATTGCAAGGGCAAGAGGAACAATAGATTATAACTACAAGGCATGTCAGTACCCTGATTATTAAGTGCCCTCTTAACATTATCATAGAAACAAAAATCTTTCAAGTGGAATTTATTTTTTGCCTCATTTGTTACACCGGTATATGCTTCACGTCTCTATATGAGTGAAAAATTCTTGAATGGGACGTAAAATAACATACAATCATTTGTTACACACATTGGTTAAACAAGTAAAATATCTGTCGACGTTTTGTTACATGTTTTAATTTATTAACAATGTTTGCGCCTTTTACAGATCTTTTAATTAATGTAAAGTTACATCAAGATACACAATCACATGACATTGTATAGTTTTTGAATTATTATTGGTGAGTGGAGTTAGTAATGTAATAATGTATATATAAAATAAGATTTTGAATCACATTCCAAGTTCTCAAATTTGATGGAAAAAATATATAATTTTAAAAGTAGCACTGATATGTTAAAAGAAAATAGAAAAAGTTTTTTTTCTTGGCCAAGATTTGGCATATGGATTAAATTTACACAAATGAAGCTTTAATCCAAATATGCTTTTGAACTACAAGGCACCGATGCACATTTACATTTGCATAATAGAACATTTCTTTTATTTCATAGAAAAAACTCCCTAAAAAGACAGGTGGGCATTCTAAGAAGTACATGGGTTTATTCTTTTTGATGGTGGGATGTGTCATTATATCAGTATGCATAGCTAGTGTTCTCAGCACGAAGTATTTACTACAGAATCTACCCTCTGCAGTTGAGGAAAAATTAAGAAACGGAGCGTTCCTCAAGCTAAAATTCGTAAACGTTTCCAGTGGGGAACTGAAGAACCATATAGAAAGTTTAAGAAGTGGTAAGGTTTAGTTTAAATAATGTGTATAAAATAGAACTTAGATTAGGAAGTTAAAACTGAAAAGAACTGCCATATTAAGCCCAGAGAAAAAAAAATTGAAGGAAAAAGGGCGTGCCTCTATTCATAGGGCAAAACATACAAATTTGGAATAACTGACATTTAAAACATATCTATCTATATCTTGGAAGATATGAGCAGCGTTTCCAGTAGATAGATATTTGTTCACATATTTTACGTATCTATGATGAATTTTTTTAATAATGAAATACCACAAAGTAAGAAAATGGCCTACTTGAGAAGCAAAATCTCTTCAAAGTCATAAAATAAGACTTTCAAAAAGTGCCTATGATGTAATAATTATAATTATTACATTTTCAACAGTGAAAAACTGGAATTTACTTCTTGAATAAAAGTGATATTCTGACACAGTGTGAAAAGATACCAAAGTGATATTCTGTCATAGTGTGAAAGGATATCAAAGTAAGTAAATAGAGGATATTCAATGTTTTGTAATTGGATATGGAATTTATTTCACGAGTGGGGCAGGATTTTTTTTATTTTCACGATTGCGAAGCACGAGTGAAAATATTAAAAACTCCTGACTCACGAGTGAAATAAATTCCATATCTAACTACAAAACATTGAATTTTCTGTTTATTACAATTTCTTTGATTTCTCTTTGTAGAATTTTAAATTTGCATCTGTCTTTTCTTAACACAGTTTCATAGGCTGTGACGTCATAGTTTAGCAGTTCAGACGTCATAACTTTGCAATTGTGAGATCGAAAACATCGTAAAGTGGATTTTAGCAATATATTTGGGAAGAAATTAGCAGTTTAAGTCTATATCATGATGGTTTAGTTACTATCTCCATCGTATGACAGGCCAGAAATTATTTTATTTACTTTGATATCCATTCACATTGTGACAGAATATCACTTTGGTCTCCTTTCACACTGTACCAAAATATCACTTTTATTCAATAAATAAATCACAGTTTTTCACTGTTGTAAATGTAATAAAAATAATTCTGTCCTGTCATGTGTAATTTAAATAAGACAAAGATACCTATCGAACTGCTTCTACAAGCTTAACCAAATAAAGCAGGTAGATTTTGATCATTTACAATATGTCTTGTCATTCGTAATAAGATATAAAACTTATATTGTCAAATATTTGCAGACTTCAATGTGTGGAAAGAAGACAACAAGGAAAATTTTTATAGATTAATTCAAGCAAGGAGTAAGTTAATGATTGGAGAGTCATGGATATTAAAATCATTATAATAAAAAGTTACTCATATTCCATAATTTTTTTCCATAATACAAGTATATATAAAATAATTACAATTAAGCAATATAAAAGATAGAACAAACAATTACTAATTAAAAAAAAAGATTTTCTATACATTTTCAGGATGTTTGACCAACTGTTCTGACCACACGGATGGGGACTATCAATCATGTTTTACCTGTGAGGGATATATTTCATGTGTAAATGGTGTTTTGTTAATAAGAAAGTGCGTTCCATCTTATGCGAACCATAGTCTTTACTGGGATGATTTTAAAAAACTGTGCCGTTTTACCTCAAGGACCTGTAATCCATCGTATACTCTTTCTGCGGAAGAAAATAATTAGATGCCCACTTGATTAAAAAAGTCAATGCAAATTTATTTCAGAACACACAATGATTAGAGAAATAAAAATCTACTTAAATTCTGAGAATATACAATTATATAAATAGTGCATTCTCTCAGTGATCTAAGGGCAGTTAAACAATGATAAAAATGGTACTCCAGCAAAATTAAGCACATCTAAGATACATGTTAGCGTGCCAATCTTAATGTGTTACATTCATTTTACTTATCCACTTATTGCGGTTAATATATATATATATATATATATATATATATATATATATATATATATATATATATATATATATATATATATATATATATATATATATATATATATATATATATATATATATATATATATATATATATATAGTTATGCAATATTTAATATACGCTATCACCATTAAAACGAATTTCAGAATCCTTAACATTTACGAAGTAATAAATATATATACATGTATCTAATGTACATGGTGTATTTGATTTCAAATATACTAATTTATCTAAATGCAGGATATCAAACGCTTGCATTTGTCCTTTCTTTTCAAAGTGCTAGTACATGTACGCGTTAATATTGAATCCTGTGACTGATTAACAATTTTAGCGTTCCTCTTATAAAAAACAGAGCTTGCGATAAATTTTAATTATGTGATTTTGTGCAAATAATCAATACAATGTTGAATTGACTGCATGATTTCTATATTAGAAAGAAACACCATTTAATTACGCTTGTAACTGTCCTCCAATTTACATGTACAGGTTATTTACCTTTGTAACAGCTATTCAATTATTCTTTATCAGTGGCGGATCCAGGAATTTCATAACGGGGAGGGGGGGCAGTAGAAGGCAGGGGGTCTGGGGGACTGCATCGAAGCCCCCAGCGATTCCAGGGAAAGCTCTGATGGGGGTCCGGGGAACTGGCGAATTTTAACAAACAAGAGGTGTTTTCTCTTGATTTTAGGATAATACAAACATAATTTTAAGAAAAAAATTCAAACGGGGGGGGGGGCGCATGCCCGGCGCGCCGGCGCTGGATCCGCCTTTGTTTATGAATAGTTGCATTACGCGAGATCTTATTGAATTGAAGGTTGAAACTTTATAATTTGGATCTACTAAACGTAACAATTCTTGAAAGCCCTCTCCATTAACAACAGTAAAAGATGGCCATGGACAATCCTTGATAATCATGTTTGTGATAGCAACATTTTTTTCCGGTGTAAAGATGAATAATGACCCCCGTAGAATAATGACCGCGGTTGTTTTTCGACGTCGAAAAATGACCCTTTTGCCCGTATAGAAAAAGTGACATCACTCTTTTAAAAATCTATCCTATGACCCCTGTAGATTAAAGATTCCCTGAAGGTTTTGTTAGGGATATACATGTATTTTTCTTTTTGATTAAAATGATTAAAAATTATAAATCAAAAGGCCCGTGGACCGAAATGCTCACCTGAGGTATAATTAAAATAAGGATACAGAGATAATATGATGATGTCATTAAATCATTCGAATAAAATGAACTGTCTTTTATGATCAATTGACAACATTAATCGACTTCAATCTACACTATATGGAAATGCTTCTATTTTGATTTAAAAAATATACATATTCCACAGAGAGAGAGAGAGAGAGAGAGAGAGAGAGAGAGAGAGAGAGAGAATTGTTTATAATGTCTATCTATCTGTTCATCAAGTTGCATTTGAGTGCATGTATTTTTAAGTCAGTGATTTTAAATAACAGTAAACATACATGTAATTTTCGGACATATAGCAAAAGTATTTTATAATTTAAATAAGAAAATTTGTGTAATGTTTTAGACACTTTTGGTACATTTTCATTAAAACCGATAGAAAAATGCATTAATTACCTATCCATTGTAAATAGCAAATAAAAGTGGAGATGCAAGAAATTTTAACCTACACTGCAAGTAAAACTTCCATGAAACCCAGAAACAGGAACGGAATGGAGTCAATAAAATAAAACTTGTTATTGCAAATATCCATATCTTGTCCCCAAAGTGCAATTAATCCATGTGCTTAATACATGTACCGTTTTCGATTTTCTGCATGCGCTCCTTTCTAAGTGGAATGATAAATCTTGTGTAATGAAATATGGAGATAAAAAACAGTATTCAAGCTCAAAAGTCCATTGAAACAATACCAATCGGGAGCACGGACTTCCAAAACAGAGGTGGGATCAGATGCCATGGAGGAGCGTCCCCTGTCGATTAGTCAGAGACGTCGTGTGCTCCATTTCATGATCGGGCAAACGGACAAATCCGTAGACAATTCAGTGTAAATAATGGTCTAACAATAGGTATGAAGAACGTCAGTCAGCATTCGACTTCATGAGAGATTATACTTGCTGACAAGGTCATCTATCGACCATAGAACATCAACTCGTTTGTCAATAGCTTGCTAATTTGTCCACCAAAATATCTCGTTCGTCCGAACGAAGAACAAACTTGTCATAATTATTATCTGATTTGTCAGAACATTTTAGTCCAAACAATTATATATTTTTTGTTTGCTTCATTTGCACCATACTATTGTATTATATCCCTTATTTATAAAAATAAATATGGCTTTCATGGATTTTTGTAAATTTGTAAAAGCTATTAAGATTCTAAAATTACAAAGTGTACAACCTTACAAAATTAAAAAAAATGGAAAATAAATGTATCATGATTTTCGAAATGCTTACTTTGTTTGAGAATGTTGAAAGCCCTGATACATATACATTATTATAACAGTAACTTGATCCGAAGAGTCGTATCACGTCGAGTTGACAGGCGCGGATCATCAGATCAAACGAGACGCGAAGCGTCGAGTTTGATCTGATGATCCGCGCCTGTCAACGAGACGTGATACGGCTCTTCGGATCAAGTTACTGTTATAATGATAAATTTATTATATACCCTCCCTTACAACTAGCAAAATATAGTTTTAAAAAAACTTTTGAGATCAATTATATAAGATTTTTCCATTAAACAAAGCATTTTTCAAGGAACTTTTTGATGCGCATGAAAAATAACGTCATGTTTCTGTGTACTACGTCATCAGTTTCAGAGAGGGTTGATATGGATTCAGAAAACCACAGTGTGGTGATCCGGAAAGTCGGATCACACCGTCACGTGATTGTACGAAATCTACAGTAAAATTGAGTGATACACACTTGGGTATATAATAAATTATCGTATTTGTCAGTATCCTGCCTATTTAAAAGTTGACCGTATACAGAGCATGCGTACCGAATATGTTAGGAGACTTACACACCATATGCAGGCGACAGTAGAATTTTACTACATAAATACGTAGAGTTAAGTTGTTAGTTGGCAATATGTGTTTATAACTAATAAATTATCCAAAAATGAAATGGATGAAAAAGAAAGATGAAGATAACAGTTTTAAGTTTTAACCAATAGTCTTGTGACGACCTATTGTGCAATTGTTATTGTGTGCTGAAAACTCTATTGGTGAAATATGCAGATAATGACCAGTAATCAATCTCAAAAGTCCACTGGAACATTACACTGGAGAAGAGCAAACACGGACCTTTAAAAAACATCAGAGGTGGGGTCAGGTGCCATGGAGGGGTAAGCAATCCCTGTCGACCGGTAACTCCCGCTAGTTCTCCTTGTTATGATCGGGCAAACGGAAAAGTTCGTAGACAATTCAGTGCAAAAATAATTGCCTAACAGCATTCGACTTAACGATGCCTAACAGCATTCGACTTAACGATGTGTTGCATATGCTTATAAGGTCATTGCATCGAACACAAAATTTACGAAATGTTGACAAAATGAAACTGTTGATACCCTTGTATTATCAACGTATTTGTCAATAGCTTGCCTAGTTTACGATATTGTTCGTAAGTAGTACATGCTCTCGCGTATCGAATCGTTAGGGAGACAAAAACTCCATATTCAGGCGATAATGGTATATACTGCTACATAAATAAGGGATGTTGACGATAGAAAAGTTGAAGTCGCGTTTATTATAGGTTTTTGTTAGTTTGCCATTAGTGTCTTTCTCTAGTAAAATATCCAAAAAGGTATAATAGATCCAAACACATGTAATGCAGTTATATTACATTTTAATTGCGTGTTCTTCCTATGTTCGTCAGAAAAATACAAGAGAATTAAACGTTAAGAAGCAAACCTTCTCTTTTAAACGTTTTATCACTAATTTGGGTGGGGAGGGCCATTATTCAACGGGGGTCAATTTTTTATAGGTTGCATATGTAGAAGATTGACCCCAAGTGTTCTTTTTCTACAAAAAATTACATTTTTCAACGGCTAGGAGGTCATTTTTCAACGTCGAAAAATGACCCCCGGTCATTTTTCTACGGGGGTATTTGTTCGTCTTTACACCGGTTCTGCACTTTGGCATTTTCACGGAGAATTTACTAGGAAAGTTTCACTTGAAGATTTCGATATGTTAGACGGATTCGGCATATACGTGTTATATGATACATCACATTTGATGTTCCACTGCAGAATGCTAGCTCAGTTTCACATTACAGTGATAATGTACATTTATCTGTGTTTCCATCCTGACATCTTTTAAAGTATGTCAAAAACTGTAGATTTTGGAGGCATGTTTGTCAAACAAATTGACACTCAAATAATTTCCTTCGAATAACCGATTAAAAAAAAAATTTAGTCGATAGTCGGTATGATCGAATGATAGTCGAGTACTCGAATATTCGTTGACATCCCTTATATATAAAGAAAGGTAAGAACAAACCCAAAAATGAATTAATTTAGGAATGACTCTAATTCTTGGCCAAATTATTCGAGTATAACCTGGTTTGGGTCAGTTTACGCTTTATAATCCGCTTCGCGGTTATTGGCGACTTTGAAAAATTGGTAGCTATCAAGCACCAATCTTCGCCTTAAATTACCACAAAAGTGACGATTAACTAGCATATGGCTTTATTACCCCCCTTTTCCTTTTTAAAATCATTAAAATCTATCAGAAAGGTCTGAAAACACGTTTTTCAAGTATTTAAAAGAAACAGATCATAGAATTTCTTGTTTACTACCAATTTTATTTACAAAACCGGTTCTACCCTATAACCTTTGAATGGGTCAACCAAGACCACGTGTCTTGAATTTAAATCACAATAACGTTAGCAGGGGTGAAGCGTCGTTGATATACTC